CCAATGTCAACATCACAGAAAGGATGGACTCCTTGGATACTCGGCTACCCCTGCACAACTCAGAGTTTTCTCTGGAAGCCGAAGGAAACTCAATAACAGTTGTAAGCCACACCTCCGTCGCCGAATTTTCCCTATCAACTGAAACCAAATGGAAAACTGCCACGGTCATCGTACCCACAAAATGCGAGATCTACGCCTCCGAAGCAAAAGGCTGCTACAACTGCCTCCAAGGAGCAAAGCTGGTCTTCACATGCACTTCCAAAATTAGAACCATTACGGAAGTTGCTTGCACTGACCATCACTACACCATAGACTGCGGACCAAAACCAATTAACACGACTGTGGTGATCAATTCCAAAACAGCCAACTACGCTGCTCACTGTAGCACCCAATGCGGATTGCAAAAACATGATTTACAAATCAGCGGATTGCTTTATTACCACTCCATATGGAAAGACGATGTGGAACGCGCCAGCATCGAAAACGCTAACTACGTGGATTTAATAAACATTCCTGACCTTAGCAACATAGCACAGGTTATGTTCCATTATTGGACTACTTCGCTTACAGCAGCAGCTGTCGTAGCATTGTCCGTAGCTGCAACGCTGATTTTTGGACCTGCTCTATTTCGCAAATGCTTGCCCTTCTAAGTCATAACATGATGAAGCACCAAACACATGTACATAATCTGCACTCTCGCTAGCCCCCTTAGGCATTATTGCCCTGCACCACGCCTAATTGCAGGCGGCTATGTACAAAGCGGTCATTTTGTCCTGCGAAATCTTGCCAGGAAGAAGGCCAAACCACTTCAAAAGACTTAGCCGCATTTTACAATGCATGGGTCAATTCACTTCTTCGTATAAAAAGGCAACAACTCCATAATCACCCAACCTCTACTACTCGCGACTACTATGGCTACTCGAACCCAACACTCCGATGAAGAAGATCTACTCGATTTATCGATCGGCATGGAAGAGGATCTGCTCACCGCACAACAAGCAACTTCCCAATGCTCGAAGCCGCACATTGCGAAGAAACA